TCGTAGATTCGTTGCTTTTGGAAACGGCTGAGGGGAACCTCTTCTTCTATAGACGACTAGTTTGGCTCGAGTCTGAGAGCATAGATGTTTCTCACACGTAGTTTAGTTTTAATTTGGAGTTTGAATTGCTAATATTATGCCGAGTACCTCCACTGAAATCCGGGCATCGGCTGCTTTAATGTCGGCAGGCATGGAATCACAAGCTCTTCCGTTGTAAACGCAAGGAATTTGTTGGGAATCCTTTAACTGTAAAATCTAGTTTTTATGCTGTGCTTATGGTTGTTGTTGTTGTTGGTGTGTATTTGGATTTAAGCATAATAACGCTTAAAGCCATGAAACAGACACGCTGCAAGTGATGATTGTTGCGGGGCTAAAGGAAATCCTACAAATTTAAAATTTCTAGATGCTCAACACAATCCGTGAAAGCAAATGCTTGTTTGCTGTGTGCCTGTGTGTGTGTGTGGGTTTGCGTGTTGTTGTGTATGTGTATGTTCGTACATATGTGCTCACATTATTACAGACATGTGAATCTGCGTATCTGTATATGTTTTGTTCATTCAAAACCATGCATGTAGGTATTTTAATAACATAAAAAAGCTTTAGGCAACTTGAATTCCGTGGAGGAGGAGAAGGAGGAGGAAGGGCCTACACAAACACAAATGCAAATACCGTTACGTGCCCCACATTGCCGCTGTTCCCGTAAAATTTAACAAATCTCCTGGCGTAATCGTCATCATCAGAATGCGGCACATTATCTTCAAGTAAAGACATGAAGTGCTCAACAAAAAACCCTTTCATTCCAAAGCCATGCAGATAAATCGGAATCTGTTGACGAAATGGAAAACTGCGATGTCAAGTTTTCCATTTTGTAAAGGAATCTAGCTGAATCTAGCTGACAGACCAGTTTGCCGATTGAGTCCTGGCATTTGTGTTGAGGTCACTGGGGATCCATTGTTCGCCATTCAACACTGATTCCCAAGCTTTGAATGCGTTTTCAGGTTTTACAGTCGAAATGAACTGTCGTTACCTAAGCTGTGCTAAGCCGTACTGTTGCTTTTACTCATGGAGAGGCCATAACGACATTTTGGAACTCGGAAGACACGGGGTGTTCATAATTTCAATTATCTCTGTTTTGAATGTATATTTGTATTTGCCGACGGGGCTTACACTTATTAGACCTTGATAATCGGCCGGGGAATGGTGTTGGCATATCATCATGGAACACTGGCAAATTTCTGTTACGACTGTCGTCGTAATCACAGCCTCACTTTGCATCTATCGAAGCGGATTGTAATGGCGACTAAATTTGCCAGCCTGCCTTCGGAGGCGCAAGGATCACATCATTTCGTGGGCTTAGCCGTGAACATGAATGTGACATTTGATACGCATTTTCCATGGAGTGGAAACTAAGGCAGGAGTGGTTTCGTTTCGTATTCGGTCAGGCAAAACTGAGCTCTACCCATGGAAACACCTACCGCAGCATCGAGAACATCATTTGGTGCATGGCGGTTAATGTTTACTCGCACTTTTCGTCTTTCGGCTGCTTTACAAAATCCCTGCCAGGCTAAAATGTGGTTCTGAAATAATATTAGAATTTTTTGTTTCTTCTACTTCTTCCATCTGTTTTGAAAGAAGAAGCAAAAAAACAAGCCTAGAATGGCTGGAGGACATATGTTTCAGCCATAAATTATAGAATACTTTCCTCTGCTGCCTCCGGGCGTTGAGGCAGACTTTGCAATCCGCTTATCGGCAATGCGATGAAGGTGTGTCTAAGTAATAGGATTTTAATGTTATATTTGTTTTGTTTCCTCCCCCACCAATTTCCCATCTTTTTTTCGTTTTGTTTTTGGTTTCGTTGTTGGGTGTCCTTTTTTGTTTGGTTTCATGATAAAGGTGCAAAGAACAAACAACAACAATAACAACGGATCATAACACATTTAATATCATCATATTTCATATTATTTTTAAATTGCGGATTCAACCTTCCATTAACCACCAACCAGCGTTTTTAGGACTGGACAACAAGGCTCAAAGCTGTCTCGTAACGTTGGTTTGGCTGGAGGTATCATCCCTCCGCGGTCGGAACTGACTTCAATGGGGGTTTTTTAAACCGTGCGGCAGTCTCTTTGTATTGGTGCGCTCTCATACGCCAGAGTAAATAGCGGCCGAACTGGGTTTTTCTTTCCGAAACGAGGAAAACTCGAAACCGTTGAATTGTGTCCTAACAAAATACTCGAACACAACAGCAGTGTGACACCTGAGGGTGGACTATTGAATTAATGAACGTACAGTTTCCGAAAGTTTGGCGTTACAGATGTGTAACAAAATGCAGCAGATTCGCTTTGAAATGCGGCGACAGAAATTACTAATACATGCACACACACATGCAAATATAATTCATTGGAGTCTACATTTATTCTTTGGATGTGTTACAAACGAAACGACAAATCGTATATATCCTGCATTCCTTGCTGAAGAGTACATCTGTAATACTGCTTCGGCCGATTAATCTGTAGAAGCGAATTATGTACATGGCCATAAAATAAATTCCGACCTACAAAAACAAAGTCGTTAGACGAGCAATTACAACTTCACTAAATATGTGCAGGAACATACACACACACACACACACATTTCAGTTAAATCTGACAAACTCCGCAAGATTTTCTTGAAAGACGCAAACGCACATATACGTTATAGAGTAGAGTATGTGTGTGTGTGTGTGTGCATGGTTCAGATCGCATCTCAGTTCGTTATGAAAGTAACAATTAATGGACAAAATTCATTTGTATGTGGAAGAGGGTCGTTCACTTGCCACTGAACTTAACTCCAAAAAGTTATGGTTTTGAAGAGCAAATCTCTTTGAGTTCTGAGATACGCAGCGATTGTGGGTGGTATTGTCGGGGAGCGGGGTTAATTTTTCGATTCTGTTGCAGAGCACTAATGTCATTAAGCAAAAAACAGACATGGATCAATGGACGATGGACGGATACGATTTCAAAATTAAATACGTTCATATTTGGCAAACATTCAATTGCAAATGGACACTGTACTCCAGGATTTACTTTAAGTTTAGGGGTATTTTTTGGGAGACTGACTGCTGCGTAACGAGTTTAGGAAGATATAACGAGTAACAGAGACGTCGGCTAGGAAAATTATGGACTTAATCAACTTTGTTGCAGACAAGACCTTCAAGCCTAGATCTGCTCCATCCATCCCTGAGAGAAGCAGATCAAATCTTATGATTGTGGGTGATTATGTGCGTATTTGTCTTGGCAAACATAAATGTCTCTGGCAATGTGTGCCTTCGTGAGGGCGTGCGTGCGTGTGTGTATGTCGGCATGCGAACAGATAACGTTGCAAATGTTTGTGGCTTTAACTTATTGTGGCTTATTGTTTTGGCTTACTTATCCAAAATGCTTCGGTGCGGCAAGTGAGCGTGTGTGCTGTGGTTGAAAGTAAATACGCCAAGATTGTGGCCATAATTGCCACAGAAGAAAAGTCATTTCGTTTATTTGAGCTGTATGACAACAATAACAAAAATCTACAACAACAGCGCAAATGACAACTACAACAAAGACAACGATAATAATATTTAACATGGACAAAAGATTCTAAGAAACATCTCCTCACCAACAACCGACCACCCCCACCCCCATGGCACTCCTTCGTATAATCTGCCCTGAAAAGATTTACCCCGACCACTTTAAGCCGGAGTGCCATGGAGTAAATCAGTGTGTGCTTTGATGTTGGAAAGCAAAGTTCAGACTTGCCAAGTGAAGCAAAAAACGGCAAAAAATGAAACATTTGAAACAGATAAACATCCGGGACTAAAGCGCAAAAAGTTTGCCCCTCATCTTTAGTTGAACTTCGAACAAACGTGTTGGATTAAATGATTTATTTGCTGCAGATACAGAAGTCGATATAAATAAAGCTGAATAAATGTATTTAATATTGTGTGGAGGGCAACAATAGCAGAACTTGGATGTGGTTGTTGTTCCTGTTAAAAAAAAAAAAAAAAAAAAAAAAAACAAAATGTATACAAATAATAAATTAAATTTGAAAAAAAGATTTTTGTTGTTGGAATCTCAGTCTCCATCCAAAGCTTATCAGCTATTCTGTCAGTCTGTATATATGCCTGTTTGTAAATATGTTTGAATTAAAATCAAATTCCCCTAACACCTGTTTTTCAGACAATTCAAGTGCTTTTAAATTTGTGTTCCAAGAGAAGGACAACCATTAAATCTAAAATTCCTCAACAACTGGAAGTGTTGAAACGCTGCTTAAAACGTACATCATGAACCATTCTGTATATTCCCTATTCGAGTTCGAAGATGTTCATAAACAGGGATTTCTCATTACTTTTCCCGGGTCTGGAATCATTTATTTCGGATTTTCATATTTTCGTATGGCAGATTTTGGCTCCAAGTTGTAGCTATTGAAATTATACATTTATTGATTTTATTACTTTGATATTTTGAGGAACGGAGAAGGGTCGAAGAGTTGAGGACATTCGTTTGTATTCCTTGCCCTCCAATTAGACCTCGTTTACCCCGAAGCATTTTCCACTATATACTCCATTGCGTATACAAAACTAAAGCGTTTGGTGAGACAAATTAATAAGCTTTTGTTATCGGTGTTTTATTGCCAAGGCTACCTTAAATAGCTTCGGGAGTGGAGTTGAAAAACAACGCAACATTTAATCCGCTTTAAAGGAAACCTGCCGTGTATTATCTACACATTAAATATCAAGTTCGTTTCTTTCTTTTTTGATCTCTCTACTCCCACTTTATTCCCTTTGCTGGCCAGGCAGATGACAAACAAGTATTCCTTTGATCTGAGTGACCACAAAATGTTGGCCAATGCTTAAATAAACTATTTTCTATTTCATTGTTGTTTTTTGTTGTTTTTGATTTGAAAATCAACAACTTTTTCATCGAGTCCAAAAAAAAACTAACTTAGCTAGAGGACGGAATTCTTGAAATATGAGTTAACTTGGCCATAATGAAAAATTCGCCCGAAGCTCTTGTCGGACAACGTGACTCTTTGTCACAAGCCAAATTGCTGAAATATTAAAACGGTCTTTGAATAAAATTAAACTTTTGTCATTTCAGCAAAAAAAAAAAACCAAAGGAGTCGAGCAACATTGCCATCTACAGGCACCGTCTTCTCGATGTGTGTCCGGCTGTTTGCCTTGGGTGTTGAGTTCTTGGAGCGCCGTCGGTTGTTGGCGTCTTAACTCGTTGCCAGGGCTTTGCGTTTTTGAATGTCTTTAATGCCATCGCTGTCGTTTAGAAGCTCTTTCTCCTCCGACAAACATTTCAACAACCTTTAATGCAGCCGTGTTTTGGTGCTGCTTTTGTTTGTTTTAAGGTTTCCGTTTGGTTGTTTTCGTCCGGAGGTGTCGTCGGCACATTCGATTTCAGTTGTCGGGTGTACGAATAGCAAACGAAGGAAACGAGACATTTGTCGTCGCACCAATTTGTGTCGACATGTTAACTTTTGTGTAATTGTTGATTTCTTGTTCAGCTGTATCACTGCTATTAGCGTTGCTGTTGCCGCTGTTGCTATACCGTTTGTTGTTTTCTTAAATTATCTGCAATAAAAGCAATGACCACAAATTACTCTCATTATTATCACACAATGGTAGAAGTGACAAGTTGACAACTCCATTCACGTTGATTTCGATAGCAATAGGGTGTGTGTGTATGTATTCAGGGACACACACACCCACATGCTCACTCACCCCGCATGTGGCTATACAAATGTATATGCTGTGATATATCTTTTTAGACATTTATTTCAATCGCTCGTAATAAAAAGGAGATATTCTCCCTTAGATGTCTGCTCATCGTAAATGGTGGTGTCATCGATTTTTCCTATTGCCCCAACAACAACTACAACAATGAGAACGACGACGTTGAGTATGGGTACATGTGTGCAAGATTGTGGCCCATCTGGGCGTATGATTGTTTCAGTCTTGGTTTCCAAATCGAATAAATCATACGCTCGGGAATATGCTCTGCAATCACTTTTTGCTTGTTATTGGAAAAATGCTGAGAAGGTAAGTGAGCGAGTGTGTGTGTGTGTGTGTGAGTGAATGTGCGTCCGTTTCTCCATGCAATTTGTTGACTATTCTTTGTGGCTCTCCAATAAAATTATATCAACAAGGGGCATGTAGAACATCCAGAAAATTCCACATTAATATTCTCCCCAGAGCAGTGATCGACTTCTGTGGCGAAAATATCTTACCTATTCAAAAGATTGAGCTCCATTTGGTGTTATTAATTTCCCATTGTACAAGATTTTGTAGCACGTTACAGGTCCTGCTTGACTCTGGGAACCAGTCAAGGAGGAATTACAGAAGTTGTGTTTACTTTTCATCAAATGCCTACGGCCTGGCCATATAAGAGAGAACTCCTGTGTATCTAAATTTTTTGAGGAATTATTTTGATAAAATACAGTGATTCGAAATTACCGCCAAAAACAGCCTTGCTGATTCGAAATGTTAGGGCAGAGTCCGGTTTATTTGTTCCCATGATTGTTCTGCTCGATTCTACACTTCCTGTTGTATGCAGTCATCAGTGTATTCCGCAAACAGTTATTGCTTTCCATATGCCAGCATATGGATTGGCTTGTGATTGATTTGGATTGCTAACATGAATGTGAATTAAACGTTAGAATCTACGATTTTCTGTTTGATTTATTTTTTCCCCCATTTGCTTTTCTCTGTTTGCAGTCATCGCGCTTGTTTAATTAACTTGGAAGCCAGCACACAGATACCAGTATCAAAGGATTTGCACAGCAGGACCCGGAGACAGAAAAAACGATGTCCGTCGCATAGCTGGTTTTACCAATGGATGTAGCAACATGGACGCAGTCACAGACACATACACGCACCAACCTCCATTTGCTATGTGCGTTTGTGTAAAATAATGATTTACTGGAGCATAAGAGTCATGTCGAAGTGTTACGTCAATCACTCGTTCCTCCACTGCGCCCTCTTTGAAAACGATACTCGTTGCTATCGTCAGCTCTGTCGGACCCCTCCACAAAATGAAATCAAAGCATAAGAGTTGTGTAACTGCCGCTGCCGTTGCTGCTGGAGCTGGGGAAAAAATGAAATCCGTGATTCTGTATCCTTATGGTCCGTTGACAGCCACCGGATGCTGTCGCATGTTGCACGCCAAAAATTTGGCCATAGCAAGCGCCATCTATACAATAGTAAGTATTTAAATTTGTGTATTTTACTGGTTGCCAGATACTCTGGCTGGGTCAAAACAATGACAAATCCATCTGAATACGCTTCGTAGAGCAGTGGATATGATTGGGTAGCGGCTATTTGTGTAGAATATGTTTTTGTTGAGCTCGGCCATAAATCGCTGTCTGCAAAACATCCATTCCCTTCCGCCTTTTTTAATCTCACTTTGGGATAAAATACTTGCAAATTGGTTTGGTCCCTTACAAGCCAAGGCTGTACCCGCAGCGTGTCAGCCAGCCGTATGAACTGTCCTGTTCATCACCATGCACACTTGCACACGCTTTTCGCAAAGACGACTGACTGACTGGCTTTCTTTTAAATTCACTCATAATTTATGTTGATTGCCCGAACGTGCCTAGAATATTCTTGCGGCTCTGAAACAGTGCCGGCAAATTCAAATAAACAACATTTTTATAACTTCATTAATGTGCTTTATTGGTGAGTGGTAAATTGCTGGCCGTATGCACGCCGCCAACCCTCCAAGGCCGGGCGAGGTGCCGCACCAACAGCAATTAGTAGGAGCTCAAGCACCACACAATGACTATTTGGTCGCGCTTGGTTATGTTGCATGCATAATGGCATAATGGCATATAATGTATGTATGTCAGAGCCACCTCCAGCCCCCGTTCAGTTCAGTTCAGGTGTCGCAGTTGGCTGGCGGGCTGGCTTCTTGTGTGCTGTGTTGGAAGTGTTAGCCCGTTATGGCGCCCAAGTACAATGTCGAATCCGTACATACTACTCGGCTCGTTCTAATCACCATGGCTGCATGAACGAAAGTTATGCCATTGCCATAGCTCCCCTGCGCTCCCGAACGAAATAATGTATCGCCTTTGTTGTTGGCTCTTCAAAATGATTCGTTAATGGCTTTAAAATGTCTAGCTTGTTCGTTAGTGCGAGTGTTTGTGAGCATTAACACAATGAAGGGATACATTCTCCGCCATGTTGCCAACAACAATAACATTGAATGGGGCAACATCAATTCCCCGTAGTTTAATCATTTAAATATTATTAAAATGGATTACCATTTAAGTTGACTTGAATGTTGATTGATCGCCAGAAGCAGGAATTTCATTTGCAAAGCATAATTCGAAAAACATTTTGTGCTAGTTAACTTTTCGAATTTAATATTGCATTGTTCGCGTCGGGTCCGACAGACTGCATCGATTCTGAGTGTGTGCAAATTCTTTAATCAGGCCAATTGAACAAAAACGAGGAAAGAGATGTGATGGGATGGGGGACAATTTAAAGCAAAACAAAATCGAACTGAGAGCGAATAATTAAGGGGGTGGGGGGTAAGAGCGAGTAATGGAAATTTATGAAATACCAATTTATTGCAGCAGTCTTGAATGGTTTTTGTAGAAAGACATTAGAACAAATCCATTATACAACAACAGTTCTACAACAAGGAGAACAAAAAGAGACAGATTCATCGCTAAGTTGTTGTGCGTAATGACATTGCGTGTCTGCGAGAGCAACAAAGATAAAACGATTACCTGCGATTAAAATTTGTTTACAATTCGCGAAGCAAGGGTATTGCATTTTTTGTTGGCTGCTCTTTTTCGGATTTATTCACAAGATCGAAAAAGTACACTTGCAAAGATTCCTTTTTAATGTTTAATTCAGGCCTCTTTGAAATGGCAACTCAAACATAAAATCTCAAAGCCAGGAATCTGTCCGATAAGTTCTACCCAAAAGAAGAACTCTTCCATAATTCCAATCGAAAAGCCGTTTTTCCGGTCAAACTTTGTGATCGTATAGAAATACAAACTTTTAGACATCGAAAATGTTTACGTTCCTACTTAAGTTGTTACGGTGCGTACAGCAATACTCACTTTCTCACCAAAATATGGTCTGTTGTACGACCGGTCCTTCCCAATGTGATATTTTCATACAACGCTCGTAACATAGTAATTGCGTTGTGTACAAAAGTACTCACGAAAGAATACGGATCTCCTTTGCTCATATCATTATACTAGGCGGATGTCATTATAACAATACATACGCATGCATGCATGTATATGTGCACGTACACACATACTATTTTTATGGACATAATAATGATGTTAAAATTGATTTAAATTCAATTAAAAAGAACGTGGAATTTAAATAACGAGCCAAGGCTTTTCGGCTACATTTGGAATCTGTAATGCCGTTGGGGAATTATGTTTCGGCAAATAAAAGCATTCACTTGTATGTATCTATGCGACTGTCTGTCTATGTTTAATCCTCCGTATAACGCTTGGCCAGACACCATTCATACAAACCTGTCCGCACGTACCTACAGACATGCAGGTCAAATTTATAAGTTATTACGTAATGAATTTGTCGTCCTAAATTGCATGAGGAACTGACCTTTAATCTCTTTTAAGTGCATTAATGCACAAACTCGTACTTTAGCGTATTGAACCCTTACATTCGGCCAATATTAATATTTAGGGGCAGAAAATAATGCTCATACTTTTCTAAATATTTTTTATTATCATTTAAGAACGTAAACTTTAAAGATTCGATTTTATTCTATAAAATCCGCAGATTCAGATTGATATTCAATTTATTAAAATGGGGTTTCGATTGACAGTTCTTTTGTCGTTCTGATGTTGTACACATGCGGTCAAAATATTACTTAAAATCGTTTAGCAAATCGGATTTCCTACCTGAATATTAGGTTCAAAGCCGTATCTGAATATGAGACTTACCTAACTTAAACTTACAACTTATTCAATTTTATCTTTAATTTGAGCCCAACGATTGCCAACAAAGTCCTGCTCTATGTTTGAGCCAGCGTTCGATTGAATAACAAACCTATTCCCTGAAAGAATGTTTTCACTAAAACATTGATTTACGGTGTTCCCAATGCCACAGATAGACAAAAACAAACTTGAATTGGTTCTCCGATAACATATGTCCGGCCATTAATTTATCTCATCGACTCGATATAGTAGATATAGTTGTTGATGTTGTTTCGTTAGCTTTGCTTTACGACGTGGTTATTATATCTAGGAACAAATGGCGTCTCTTAATATTATTAATGAACTCAAACTACGCTCAACAAGAGATGAAGTGAAGAGGAGTAACAAGAAGAAGAAGAAGAATGTGAATGTGAGTCGAGTAGCTTTTTATTTATATTGTCGAGAAAATAAATTTATTTTTTATGGCTTTTCGAGGGGGGGGGGATTTACGTATGTGTGCACGTGTGTGTGTTAGAGGTCCAGATTTCAAAACAATTTAATTTGCATGAATCTACAATAAATTTGGAGCTTGGCTACGCATACATCGCTGCATGTATCGAAATTGTAGCACCTTTATTGCTGCGGGAGAAGGTGATTCAGGTAGAGCCGTTATGTAAACAACAACATACATGAATAATGAATTTGTGCTGCCCAAAAGCTGTAGCTCTTGGCTATGGGGAAAGACATTATTAATGATAGCCACCATCGCTGAGCGGTGAGGACAAACTGATAGCAATTATTTAATGAACAGCTCAGGGTGTTTCCCTCTGCTCCGCACCACCCACGACGAGTACACATACACTCGTATGCTTACATATGTATATGAATAAATGACCAATGTGTGTAATATTCTTTCCTTACAGAATATATCACTGTTGATTGTCCTGATATACTCATGGCGTATAAACATCAACATAAACAAGTCCGGCGACTTGGAGGATGTCTACTATGGTAAGTAATTCATTAGGCAATAAACACTCACATAAGCATGCACACACACACACACACACACACACACACACACATGGGCAAAGTTGCAATGGTCACACACTCGGGCACAGGCGTCCATCTATGCCTGTGGAGTCAGCCTATGGGCGGCATCCGTCTCCAACCCCGCTTCTGTACCGCAAAATGCGGGTACACGAGTAATTGACTCAACTGGAAAATCAAATTTGTGTGTATGCGTGTGCGAGTGTCTCTCGATATCGACCGTCTGAAGTCTATTGGCATCTTCAATTAAACGGACTATGATTTGGTTAACGAGATTGGGCAAAGAATGGTCGGGTTGTGTGTCTGTCTGTCTGTTTGTCTGTCTGTCTATTCATCCATGGAATTGATAGAAACCACAACTTGCCAACTTGTATCGTTTTTGTTAGATGCACACGATAATCACAGAATGTCCTTCAATGGCCAATGTATAAAAATACAACAGATGCCCACAACCGCACCGATACGGAGAGAAACTATTGTGTGCTACCAACGGTGCTGTTCCTCCGCACGCCGTCATTACCATTGCCCACACGAAGCCATGAAACAATGGCATGCAGCAACCACCCAATGCAAACAAGAAATTTTCCCAATGATGATCACGACGATGATAGCTGAATGCATCAATTCCCAGTTGCAATCGAATGACATGCAAATATTGAGTTGGCATCCGTGTCAAGAGAGCATTGCTGACAAAATCGATGTGACCGCAAATCTACCAATCATGCTGGTACGCTCTCAATGACAATAGTGGCATTGGCATCGGAAGTTGTTTATTTTTTGCGTATGTGTGTGTGAGTGTGCGATTCGACCTTAGCAAGTGGTACGAAGTGTCGAGGGGTAGTCCAGTGAAGTAAAAGGATGCAAGAAAAACAATTCCCTCCACATATTCGAGGATATTAGAATTGAATGTGTTTCGGATTAGAGATGCATATTAAAGGGTTTTTTGCCACGCACCACATACCTGTTTACAATTAAATCCCCCAAAGGTCTCAAACCACCCCAAGTACTATCATGTGGTTCTCTATTCGCGACTGTACACACATATACTATAAGGTTTCTCATCCGAATCGCCCTTCGAAGTTCGACCAAAATCAATTGACTTACAGAAGTTACTAACATTAATGTTAATAGAAAAATTCTGCTATTAGCTGGTCCGATTGGATGACTTCATAAATCGTCATGTCTTGTGGTACATGCATGTTCAGCTCAATATTTAATGCCAAAAAGAAGCATTTTGATTTTCGATCACCTCTTTTGCAGTCCAAGCCGATTTAAAGCACCATTGTCAAAATTGATAACATGATGTGTGCGAAAGGGTTTCCTTGAGTTCAACTGTACAACAATTTGGGCGGTACACCGGCCTACTCTTCCGACGCCCAACCGACGCGACTCATCCGACACACAAATTGCAACTTACAAAATATGCACGTAGTTTAATAACAAAAATTGAAATTTTCTCGACTATTTTCAGGAGTCCAAATTGCCTATTTCGCCATAATTGGAACCCAAATGTCAATGATTATTCTGAGCGTGATGCTGCTTTATGGAATCCTTAAGGTAATTTTACACAGATCCTATTTCAAAAACAACATATTGTTGTCACCCTTCGCCTGTCGCCAAATCACAATTCGCATTGCCGATACAAGACGTTCGAGAATGCTCATCCCCTGCTGCACAGTGGTTCAGAACTTAATTTTATCGACTTAATTCTCAGTTTATTTTTTTATCACATCGAAAGTAGAACTGAGGTAGCCAAAAACTTAATATTTCAAATAGAGGACATGATGTTCCCTTACGGAATTACATCCCATTTGATATTCGATCGAACATCCCTAAATGCGATTTGAATTAACTCTGAAGAAACTGAAAAGAAAAATCAATTGTATTTTTTTTTTTTTTTGAATTAAATTCATCGATAACCAATAGAAAAAACTGGAACACATCACATCTCGGAGAAAAGGGGAAATAAACAACAATTACTGACTGTTAGAACGTTAGACAACGCTTCCGAGTCACTGTGTGCCGAACGAGATTCAATTCGGAACGAAATATGAGCGAATGTAAACTAACTACTATGTTTTTTGTTTCGTTGGTGTTGGGGTCCTTGCTTTTTTCCGACCAAATTCCGTCGGGTGTTGCAGATAACAACTGAATTAGAACAACAACAGCAAAATGTACGAAAAAAGAAAACACAAAATTGATGAAAAAATATCATCCTGAACATGTATTGACAGTCTTGTTTTATGACACAATACAAATTCATGCTGACGCATGCACACACACTCACACATACATACATACATACATTGAACCGGATATGGACTTGAAATAGCGCAGCGCAGGGGGACGAGGGCAAAACAAGAAGATGTTTTGCGTTCAAAAATCCCTATAAAAATTTGGTTTATTGCAGAAGAACGAGCGACCCCACAGCAGTCAAAGGCAACAGAATTCCCATAAAATGAAAATGTATTTCATTTTGTAGATATTAAAGTATTACCCAACACTCGTACACACATACATGTGTGCGGGCACTCATCGGTATATGCAAGTGTGCATGAGTGGATGAGCATTTCTTCTCATAGCTCTTAAGGATGGTCTGAACGTACTGTGGCGTATAGGTATAGGGCAACTGAGGAGCTACGACGAACAGACAGGATTCTCGTGCGGACCAAAAAAATGAAACGAAACGTACATTGAAGCGCTTGTGTATTTGTGCACATGCACACTCATCTCTGGAGGACCCTTGTGCAGTGTACACATATAAAGAGTCAACTGTAATCTACCCGATACACACCCACGTCGAGCTGACGAACTCACACACCGACGCAAAACGCTCGAACAATGATGGTTTAATGGTATCGCATTTAGCATTTTTATTCTCTTCAATTGAGTTTTTTCCTGACAAAGGGATCTGATTGAGATATGTGTATGTGCGGACCCAAGTTTGTGATGTCTATTTCATTTGCATAAAATTAATTTACTTATTTTGGTTAATGCTTTCTTCGATTCGAAAGGCAACGCCAATGTCAGTCAAACGCATCACAGGGCAAAAACTGGGCAACGATGTACAAGACGGGGTTCCATCGACTTCAAATACCCTTCAGCGACATGGCATGACACGACGCTCTCTCATCTCTTCCCATCGATGCTGTCGCGTAAAGGCAAACTTTCCGAGCAAAGGCTATCAGCAGCGCCGAAAACAGTGCAAGCGGAAAATAAGACCCTCATTGGGGCAGCATAAATTAAGCGGATCTCAAGTAGCCAAATTAGAATTGGTTAATGAAACATCTTGTTTTGCATGGCCACGAGCCACGGCGCTTCCCACAGTGACGTAGCAACAAATCCAACGGTTTGACGACCAACTTTTGACATTTCCAAGTAAACGTGCTTTCCCAACAAAAACAAGCAAATTGCCACAATGATAGACAAATGTCATAAATGGCGATTAATCACAAGATATTTTAAGTTATGAGGACTTGATGTCAATGAAATTTGAAGAAATAATTGTCTTCGGCTACGGCCGGAGGATTTTCGAAGAATTTGTTTAAGTATTCAAGTAATGCTGAATAATGAAGTACCTAAGCAGCTTTAAATACTCAAAGGGTACAAAGGGCAGTCCAACATATAAATGTATTGTTAAAAAGTGTGGGGGAGAGTTTGACATTTTTTAGAATTGGACGGTTGATTTATTATGAATTTCGAAACGGATTGTCGAGGCGCTAGTGAGACTTTTTATAATGAAATATCGGCATCTAATTTTGAAATTTAATAATACTAATACTGGCACTTCCAGAATTCCCTCGGTGGCTGTTAGTCTATTCCACATGGCCGTTCGAGGGTTTAAACAGAATTTGAATACTATTCAAAAAACAAAAAAAAAAAAAACAAGTAAGCAAAGGCTACAGTCGAGCGAGGCCGACCGTTGAATACCCTACAACACTATAATAAACGATACAGTTTATATAGGCGAGATACTCGAAAGAATTCCACAAGATATTGTGACAAATAATAAAAGAAAACCATCAGGTTTCGTTCTCTAATTTTCGAATAATAGCAACTTAAACTTTTCCAATTTATTGGAAGATGTTGCACGTAAATGGTCTTCCTAGATCTGGAACCAATATTTCCCAAAGACCTATAATCTCTCAGAAGTGGCAAAAGATTAACATTTATTATTGGTTTTTGACTGAAACGCATCTATATGAGATACAGACATTTGACTATATTCTTCAACGAAATCAGCGGTAACGAAATATTCAGAAGTGCGTCTTTCCTGTATTTGTGAATTCTCCAAAAAGTCACTGGAATGGCCATTTTCGTATTTTGTCTACAAAAGTTGGCAAACTACTTCACACATTGAATATTTTTGGATGGAAATCCAAAACTGCTTGGCTTTTGCAATGCCCGGTAACCCCCATTCAAATGTGCGTGAGGATCGGGCAATAATTACGACCACTCTAACAATTTTGCAGTTTTTTTGGTCCATTTCAACCCCTAAATATATGGCGATCATCTCAAAAAAAGAGGAAGCTTCTATTCTGACCCTCATCTGACCCCCATGCAAAATTTCGTTAGGATCGGGCCATAAATGAGATCTGTATATGATATCCTGATATCCAAACTACTTAGTTTTGTTAGCTGTAGAAATATTACCAAATGTTTAATTCAAAATGAAAATATGCCAAAAATGTGACAAAATTGAAAAAAATATGAGAAAATTTTAGAAAATCAATATTTTCATCTTTAGAGATATATTTTTATGCGATTTTTTAGACGTTGTTTCTTTCCTGCCAAGAGGCCATTCTGAATTAATGAGAACTGTCGAAATCAGTTCAGCCGTTCTCGACATATAAGAGATCTTTCAAGCATATCTTCTTTGATAGGCATATATATCGCACATATTTTTCTCTATATCCGTTTTGTTGGATGTTAACATCAATGTAAAGATCAGAAGTAACCTTGTCAAGACTTTGTGATTTTGCCGGGATTTAAAATATTCGCGGTTTAATGAAAAATTTTGAATTTCAACACAAAAGATATGGTCTATTTTACCCGCTAAATATTATCCGATTATCCCCGCCCTAAACTACTAAACTACCCTAAACTACTAAACTAGCTACATGGGAAGTTCCGCGTCGATTGGTCTATAATTGCGACCTGTATAGCTACTGCAAAATCCGACATTTTTTCAGTTTTTGGTCCATTTCGACCCCTAAATACTATGCGATCATCTCCAAAAGAAATAGGGTTCTACTCTGACCCTAGCCCCACCTCCATTCTAAGTTTCGTGAAGATCGAGCCATAATTGCGACCTGTAGAGTGATTACAAATTAACATGGACAGAGGGACAGACGGACGGACGGACATACATAGCTAGATCGACTCAGCTCGGCGAGCTAGGAAGACCCATACATACTTTCCTATGTGGGAAATCAATATTTCGAGGTGTTACATAATTTTTTGCCCAATCAAACTTATAATACATAGTGTTGTAGGGTATAAAAACTGTGTCATAAAACAATTGTATTCAGGTGTTCCCTATGCCCTATCTTTGAAATAATTGTACCATATGTGCACATAAGAAACTGGTGAAGTGAACTTAATAGATTCCCTTACCAACTGATCTTCCTCCCCAATTTACATTGCATCAAAAAGAAAAAAAAAACGAAGTATAAAGAGATCATGGTAAAATTATGAGAGGCTATCTCATGCTTATATACATTTCATACCCTCAGCCATATGGCAACAGAGGGAATTAAATTTCAATTGAAAATTGGTTAAAGAAAATCATTTTAATTTCCCTTTTTCCGAGAACAAGCATGTTGACTTCTTTAGTATATTTAGGACAATATACATAAATTAGGTCATTCAATCAACGCTATTTTTTAATCTTACAATAAGTATTTCACAAAGGGCTAATTCCTGGCACAATTAAGAAGGTACTGTTACGCAATCACATGTTTACAATTTTTTCAAAATCATTCATTTGACAACATCTCATTGCCAAAATATCTCTATAAATCCATTGTGTATATAAAAATCAGAGATGGGAACCTATTTTCTATCCAACGAAATTTGAGAAGGTAGGATTTCAGAAAATGAAGAATTGGATATGCTTATTTGAAATGACTTAACCTTCTTCATTTTTTAAAGATATTAATCTTTAATTTTATTTGAAAATAATAGATGTGTTCCAAGTTAAAAAGGGACGCCAATGCTGATTTGGAAAATCAAATTATTTCTTTAAATCTGCAATGAAAATAATGTTTTGTCAGAATCGTGATTTAATAACATGTAACAATTTGTTTCCGTAGATATGCAAGACCACGTGAATGAACTGACAAGCAGCCCTGCAACGTTCTCCATTCAATATTAGAATAGATAAGAATAATTGTGTGTCTGCGATGAGGTTAAGATAGATTAGTTTTAGCAGACAAAACAAAGTTTATAAGTGCGGTTGTAAGATTTAGAAGATTTTCCAAAAGAATTTTAGTTTTATGTAATTCTTTTGTTCCTCTTCTATTGAGCTTACGATCTCGTCACTTGGGTAAAAAATGTTTTTTGTCATAGAAGTTATTTTTTAAATAACTTCTGGGGAGAATATCCCAGACAAGAAACAAGGGATCTGATGAGGATTGGTGGCTCTTTCCGAAACCTAGGTATTCCCTGCCTTACCCCCTGGTAAACATTACCATCGTTCTCCACTCATAAACAAACGTTGTTTTTATAAAAACAACAATAATGGGATTTTGCCTGACGATTTTGCAACAACAAAATACTATAGTATCCCAAACAAGCAAGCCAAACACTGTTCTAGTACTTCAGGAATATATTCTTTAATGAAAAGCGGAATCTAAGCTACATCCAAAGAACTTGATTGTTCTTTCTACACTTGTATATCATTGTAATGCCCCAGAAAGTTGTCAATCTCGCAGCAACAATGCCTTCTGCTATTGATAATATTTTTATTTCATTCAAATAGGAAAACCCTGGTCTAATTGTTCCGTGGATCATTGGTTACATAACATTTATGGCACTGGAAGCAGTCGCAATGGTGTATTCGAACGTGTTGCGGGATCATGTCAACAAGGTAAGTTGTTCGATTGGTAAATTGAGGTATGAAGTTCAGTTCTAGTTTGATGCTGTTCGACAAATATATTTACAAAACTATAGTGACATGAACTTTTGAACTTAACCCTAGGTCCAAGTTGGGCTTATTGTTATCTACTCCCTTCGACTAAATTTGAGAGTTTCTTCAAAAAAAAAAAAAAAAAAACTCTCCCCGCTTTCAACCACTCACTGACTGTAACAATAGGTTTGCTTGTGCCGAGATGGCAATCGACGAACCGTAGTATACAAGAACATGACTGACATTCAATCGATGCTGCAAATAAAGCTCACAAGCTGTGGTCTACAAATGCAAATAGCCAGAGGCAGTCTCTGGAAAATGATTAAAAAATAGAAAGACACGGTAGAATAAAAAAAATATGGAGTGTCGTCATTGACCTTTCAAAATATAAAAGAATGGGATGGGGCAAAAAGTCCAGTGTGTGGACATGACTGGCGGATTTATTTTTACGTAGCGGTTTACGACTAGTGTTCTGCAAAGAGCTTACCGAACATACGACCATAGATTGACAATGAATAATGTCGGCATTTGAACAATTCAAATTACTAAATCGAAATCCCGATAGTGCCGTCTTAACTCACCAGCAACATTGATCTTCAAAAAAAAAAAAAAAAAGAATAATAATAGTAATAATAACAAAACAACAACAACAACAACAACGACATAAATAAAAACACACAATAATAATAACAACAAGGACGACCTTTCTTTGCTTGTTTAGGTTTGAGGGAGATTTCATTGACCGAAATAGAAATGATGCGACGATGACAACTTACTTTTCCCCATACAAAACCAAAACCAACTGAAATTTATGACCTTTTTAGTTCGCCACTTTCTGGCTAACGAAGTGTGAACATCGTTCGGACCTCTAGTTGTTTTGCCAGGCACGTTCCTTGCCTTTGTCGAAGGCGTCGTTATTGGAATGCGGAGCACAAAGCGATAATAACTCGTCCTGTCTGTAGTTGTCTTTGATGGAAACATCAACAACAAAAGTTTATCGTTATCCAAATACTAGAGGGAGCAAATAAGATATGCAAAGGCCTAAGGGTCTCGATGTCCGGACTGCACAGTGTTTATAGAGTGGTTGATAGGCAACATCAACAACCGTACAGCAATATGTTTTCCATTATTGTGGAAGACCAATCCAAATTTGTTATTAGAATTGCGCCATTCAGTGGTATTTGCAGATGCAGAAAATGATGGAAATTCCGTTGGCATTATTTGCTGTGCCGTTAAATGTCAATGAAGTCATTTTTATGGGCCGACCTCTATTTCAGTTTTTGAATATTTTGGCTTGATTTCTGCGACGTGCGGCGGGGAAGAAATCGGAATGAAAAACTCATTTCGAACATCTGTGCTGGGAAACTTTTTAGGAATTGATAAACAATGATAATCATCAGGCCGACTAACTTGGCACCCACACAGACGGACAGACGGACAGACAGGCAGCACCAGTCAGCACGCCAGCCAATTCACCAGCAAACAATGGAGTCGGCCGAGCAAAGTCAAACAATAACAACTACAAGTTGTGGGAGGATGGGGGGCGGAGCATACTCAAATACTGTTGCTACTTGTTAATTGTGCTGCAGTGCGACGGCCGAGGACGCCTAAGCACCAGTGTTTTTCTTGTTTTCACTCTAATTGTGTTATTTTTGTTGGTTTTTTGTTCTGACATTCCCTTTGAAATTGAGTACTCTTCCCTCTGAGTTGATGATGATGACGATGCCTAGAGAAATTCATGTGGAAATTTGCATACCACTTTGCCGCAAAAACAAAACAGTTTTTCGAAACAGTAACAGCTATGGCGGCGACAAGAGTAGGGCTTTGGGTAAAGAATTTCTCGAGGAGTCTAGAAGTTTTTGGTTGGCTGGGCCAGATGATTTAAAGTCATTGATTAGGAGGGGAAGCCTGGCGGTGTCATCGCAGAATGAATATTCCGTGGACTTGTAACCTATGATTGACGTCTTCACTTATACCCAGACGAAGCGGTTGAGTTAAAATCGATATGACGAAGTTTGTTCACATTCATTAAAGGAAGGGAAATAACTAAAATATTGTAAATTGTGTAAAAACGCGGAATTGGAAAGGGTCGCGGGTATATTCAAAAGTCCCAAAATATTCAGCAGGATGTGCTTATTTGAAATGAGGTTGCCTTCCAGACACTACCATGCTATCACAATGAATATACCCATCTGAAACGTGGGTTGATTTAGATATTTTCCACCGTGCTTAGCTCCACATAAAATGTTGGAATTTGTCATTTATATTTTGAAACCATTTGCAACCATTTTTCGTTCGTTGTTGTTAGAAAACCTCACATTTTTAGAAAGCCTTCCAAGCGGAGGTAACTATAATTTAATAAAATTTTGAAGTCTTGTGATTTTAAATCTGTCTCACCAACAAGCTGAGAATTGAGCTTTTCTGAACTTAGCTTTATCAATTAGAATAAGACATGCAAATAGAGACTGGTTTTGGAAAAACGGGCTGGAGCTGGACGTTATGGTGATTGTTACTCATCGTTTGTATGCTAGAGCTAATGCTGGGTTTTACAAAAATACAGGAAAATTGAATAAAATGGCAAATGATTAATACGTCGAAACTTGAACAGCTTGCGATTCCTGGCAACTATAATGGTCTGATGTAAAGCTCATATTTCCCTGGCAATAAGTAACTTTCGTAACTTTCCCATGAACACCAGAGATTCCTGACCCTGGATCAATGATTCTCACAAACCCACTGACAATAATAATTGTCTAACGTAAACCGGGAGTCAGGTTTTTCTAGAAACCTAATTCAAATACGAACAATACGGAAAACTCACAGAAAAACTGACAATGACGATTTTTCAACAATAAAAATAATTGACATCACCCGACACCATCAATGCCAGGCGAATAGTGAAAGTTTACAACAGGCAATTTGTTTCCGCGCCACTCCACCCTTCGTTGGGTGGCAGCTAAAATAAGAATCTGTCGTCACATCAACATGGCTCACAGTATCGGTGATGTAATTGTGACAACACCGCAAATCACTCCCCCGATATTTGGGGGGAATATTAGATAATCTATTAAGCGGTTTTAATTGAGGGTTAGTTGTTCCCGGCAGAACTGAGCCTTTTGCAATCAAACTCTTCGCCATTGTTTACCTGTTTCAGCCAGCAATATTAGAGTGATTTGCAAGGTTCACTGGGAATTTGACCGTGCTTTATCCGCGGCGCAGGAGGGGCCTTTGGCAGCAAAGAACTCATTATGGTAATGATTGCTGCTTGTTGGCATCCCTCTGCCATTGGTATCTGTGGAGGAGCAGGATCGGCGATGAATGAAATCCACTTCGAATATTAAAGGAAAGAAATAGACTCGGTTTAGCAGCCAACTTGGTTAGGGCGGTGGAAAAAAGTTGGCGTTGTTGAGGGTCAATCGAGTAACGAACATTTGAAACTTTCGCTCAAGTCCATAGCAAAGTACGCTTGTAGCCGGGCGAGTGTTAGTGCATTTTTATTTGAACTTCGCTTCGTGGAAGTGGTGAGGGGGTTTGTGCACAGGATACTCTGTGTGCATAGAGTGAAGTTGCCTTCCATGCTGCCTCACATTGCAAGCGCCTCTATTTGTTTGTGTGTAGGCAGGCAGGTAGGTAGTACTTTGAAAGTTGAATCGAAAGAATAATAATAGCTTTACTATAACACCCCCTCCCGCTCCGCTCTCTTCCTCACATATTTTTACCTACCTACATATTTATTCTTGTGTCCTATTTTTCAGCAATTCGATGCGATGTGCAAAGCGGAAGTGGCATTTTTTATAGCTCGCGCTTTCATAAACGTAAGTAAAAGAGCATAAAGGGTGCATGGCATGTTTGTTTCCTTTTTTATTTCGCTTTCAGCGATTTTCTTTCATTTGTGCGACTTTAAGTCCTCAGTATTACTTATTATTTCATTTTCCAAATGACCACAAACACACTTCATCCACATCCTGCGAATCGATGGACTTTTGGAAAACTCTTTGGACACAGCTCACAAACCAGTAGTTAACAATGGGCAGAGCAAATGCAAATAGGCTATAGAAGTCGATGTGAGTGGAACCCATGAACACCTCTGCAAGCCATGCGAATGTCTCGAAGACCAATATCAGAAGATTTAAGGTCAACCAAGGTGTCATATGACTTGGAGAAACCTGAGGGGACTACGAAATTGATGACGTGGAAATAGATTTCGGAATACTTACCCTGACCACAGCATAGCACAGCATTAGCCAACAATTAAACGTGACCAACGATCCCAATAAACGACACCGTCTCAAGAGGGTCAGCGGTAGGACGTGATATTTTCTCAAACGCCAAAGGGATAGCGGTTTACTTGCTGTTCGAAGCAGGGTCACAAACTCATACAGGCTATGAATCTGGAAATGGTCAAAGGTTGACTTTGTTCACGTTGGGCTGCAATACCAACCGATCCGAAAATGCTGACAAGGAATACCAGCCAATAGACCAGTGGAAACCATGTTTTTTGACAAAAGGGTTTATCCGCCACAAACGATTTTATATCTTCCCAACGCGCTTTCGGAGCAAATGACCATATGGTGTAAATTTCACATTCGTCCTCTTTGTCGCCATGGGTCTCTGTGGCCAGATTTAAATAATGCCTAAGAAAGTGGCACAACTTTAGATTGCATGTTGAAATTTTATACATTTTTCAGGATAGAATAGAAAAAAAAAAAAAAAAAAAAAAAACAAATGTGTCAAATGTTCTGTTCTCCAATTGAATATAAATATATACACACAGACATGGCACAATGAAAACAAGGTAGGGCACTCATTCCAATCGATTTTAATATTTTTACCCTACAACACTATGTGTTGGGGGTATTATAATTTTGATTGGGCCAATAAGTACGTAACACCACATAGGAACGTATATATGGATCTTTCTATCTCGCCGAGCTGAGTCGATCTAGCTATGTATGTTCGTCCGTCTGTCTATGTTAATTTGTAATCAAACTACAAGTCGCAATTATGGCCCGATCGTCACGAAATTTTGCATGGAGGTGGGGGTAAGTTCGGAATAGAAGCCTATTGCTGTTGGAGATGATCGCATAAAATTTGGATGGTCATCGGGTAATATTTAGTGGGTGAAATAGACCATAACATTTGTGTTAAACAAAAGTAAACCGCGAACATTTTTAATCCCGGCGAAATCACAAATAGACGAAAAGGTCAAATCTGACCGTTACGTAGATGCGGATAGTAAATATATGGTATATATATATAGAGAAATATATACAATGTGTACATATGTACAAAGGAAAGGGATGTTAGCTAGAATGCTTACATCTCAAGAATGGCTGGACCAATTTAGACGAATTTTGTCAATTCAGAATGCCATCTTGACACAGAAGAATAAAATATAGAAACCCGAATAAAATGACGTGTTTGCGTTGCAAAATGAAAGTAAAAGAAAATAAAACACAATATTTAGAATTTTATTTCAATGCAGTCGTGGACTGTATATTTTATTGAATAATTGTTCGTGGAACAATTAAATTACCTTTTTACAGGATGTAGGGGATTGATGCTTTCTGGTCGTGAACCAAGGAGCGAGAGATCTTAGCGAATTAAAAAAGCTAAGATGTCGCAAAGCGGGGTTTAAAGCTACTCGTTACATTTTGTTACTACATTTGTCTTTGTCTACGAAATAAACAAAGACGTATAAATGAGTAGTGGACAAAATGTAACGAAGGGATAAAAAAGGACCCGTGAGGAAATTTTAAATTGAATAAATCACAATTACTTTGAAAATATACATTGCCGCCCGCGTTGCAACATCCTGCTGTTGCAAAATTATGAAAAAAAGATATATATGTGTACATTTTTTCTCTTATTTTATTTACATTTTTTTTTTTTTTTTTTTTACTTTTTTCAAAAAACAAAATTATTACAAAGTTTTTGCTCGTAGAGCAAGGATCGTTAAATGGCTCGTAGAGACCAGATCCGTTAACTTTTTTTCAACAAGTGACTCGTAGAGTCTTGTGACGAGGGCTCGTAGAGCCAGAGGCAATTGAAGATTGCCCCTCACATGGTTTTAGATATTACATGGGCCCGATATTACCCAGCCAAAAATGGTGAGCTGGGCCCATGGGAAACCAGGGCTAGAATAGGTTTGAGGCTTCATTACCTTATGGTAGACTTCTGGGCCTAAAATCAAACTGACTGCAGCTGTTTCGTAGAACCGAGGATCGGCAAGTTGCAGGCCAGCATAATGATCTTTTAGACCCTCGGACACAGACTCCAAAGGAGAAATTAGGTGCGCCAGGTTTATCACTCGCGCCGACAAAGAAATGCGTTGCGTACCATCGTAAGAAGATGCAACGGACAACTGACAGAATCTTTCTGGACCCACAATCACAGGACATAGTCCGAGGCTGTCGGCCAAAGACCGACAAATCAAACTGTGGCCTGCACATGGGTCCAGAAGTGCTCTGACTGGTATCCGGTGGTTGGCCAAAATGACCTGTACCACCAGCGTAGGTCCAAGCGTGGCTACAGACTGGATGGCGGATACAGGCCGGGGTTGAGCCAAATGTGCCGCATTATGTTGGGGAGCGATACTGGGACCATAGATTGGAGGTTGGGAAGTATTAGCGGACGGACGTTTCGAAGATCTACGCTTGCGTAGTTTTTTGGACGGTTTGGAGTTGTTGGTTTGGATTAGAGCGGGTGAGCGCGATGGCGGGTTGGAAGAAGGCTGATGTAGCAAAGTATGATGCTGCTTGTTGCAAATAGTGCAACAACGCCGACTGTTGCAATCTCGGAGAGAATGCGTTGACGCCAAACAATTGCCGCAGCATCTGTGAAGAGCGACGGTTCGAAGCCTTCTCTCAATGCGCATCACCTGAAACTCTTTACAATCACGTAGGTGATGTTTACCGTCGCAAAGAACGCATGCCTTGTTCGAGCCCTGGTTACTTCGGCAGGGTGCCGAAGAAGGTGGCGTGACCACAGTTTCTCCTGAAGGAGCTTCAGGGACCGTCGTAGACGGATTTTTTGAAATTGGGTTTTCCTCCGAGGGAGGAGCAGTTTCAGGGGGCCCAAATACCATTGGCTCATCGGAGATGGGGGTAGTACTGGCGTCGAGCTCCCTTTCCTCATCAGACATGGGGACGTCGTCCTCATAGTCGGGTAGAGTTGCAGCCATCTTTCCTAAATTTTCCATCTTCTGTGAAAATAGAGAGGATGCAATAATACAACGATGAGGAGAGAGTTATTGGAATTATTGGCCAGGATGACCATCAAAAACCGTAGGTCGTTTTAAATTGTCATGGCCCGAGAATTCGCGACGCGTTCGCGGCCATCAATTATAATTTTTTCTTTCCCCGAAAAAATATAGAGGATACAAATACGAATCGAAAAACATGGACTATGACAATTAAGGTAGCGCAATTAATTTTACAATTGGCCGTCGGATAGTGTCATTTTCCGTATGGATATCTGCGACTCGTACTCGACCATCAGAACCCGGGTGCACCGCTATAATCCGTCCTAATTTCCACGAAGTGGGAGGAAGATTTTCATGCCTGACTACGACTAAGTCGCCTTTTTGAAGATCGCGTTGCGGAAACTTCCATTTGTATCTTTTGTGCAAGCTCTTCAAATACTCATCCTTCCACCGTAGGCAGAGTTGATGAGTGAGAGCTTTAAGTTTCCGAAACCGATTTACCAGATGCAAAGGCGCTTCGTCAATTACTGGCTCCGGAGGAGCAAGGATTGGGGTTCCAATGAGAAAATGTCCTGGTGTTAGTGCTACTAAATCTTGGGGGTTGTCATTTATGGGACATAAAGGACGTGAATTTAAACAAGCTTCGATTCTGGAAAGAATGGTAGAAAGTTCTTCAAACGTAAATTTGAAGTTCTTAGCTTGCTTACGAAAATGCAACTTAAAACTTTTTACGGCGGCCTCCCATAGACCACCCATATGGGGGGCGCCAGCGGGAATAAATTGCCATGAAAGTTCCTGATACTGGAGTGTGGAACACAGGTTAGTACGACTTTCACGAAGAACTATTTTAAAGTCATTTTCGATTTCCCTAGAAGCTCCAACGAAGTTGGTGCCGTTATCAGAGAAAATTGTTTTTGGACACCCACGTCTGGAGATAAAGCGATGAAAAGCTGCTAAAAATGTTGCCGTAGACAAATCAGAAGTAGCCTCAAGATGTATTGCTTTCGTAGAAAAGCAGACAAAAACACAGACGTAACCTTTAGTGATTTTAGCAAAACGGCCTGTAAATGATTTAAGATCAAAGGGACCTGCAAAATCAACACCGGTAGTGGTGAATGGTCTAGATAATACCGTTCTCTCCGGAGGAAGAGCAGCCATTATCTGAGAGCAAGACCGTTTTTTGTCCAAGAAACATGTTTTACATTTAGTAATGGTGGTTTTAATTAGTGATGTGAGTCGTGGGACCCAATATTCAATTCTAATGATGCGTAACATCAGTTGATTTCCACCGTGGATGGAAAGAACATGTATGAATTGAAGAAGTAAGTGCGTGAAACGACTTTGGCGAGGTAGAATAATGGGATGCCTTTCTGTGTAAGACAGAGTTGGTGATTGCGACAAGCGTCCATTAAGCCTAATTACCCCGAATTCATCCAGAAATGGATTTAAGGGTAAAAGAGAACTCTTTGCATTTAAGGGAACCTTATCTGACAAAGACTGGTACTCATCTGCAAAGTGGACTTTTTGAGATAAAATAGCCAGACGTAATCTAACCGCTTTTATCTCTGAACTGGTAAGGGCCTTCTCATTGTAAATGTATTGACCTCTATGAGCAGGATGAGTCCGATGGAAAAATCTAAAAACATACGAGAGGACCCGAAGAGCCCTGTCTAACGAAGAGAAATCTTCTAAGGGGTCACAATAATTACTGAAGAAAGAGGCATGAGTCTTGACAGTACGCATTTCAATTTCGGTGTCAAGCAGAGGAAGATTGGATAAATTCCAATGAGAACTATTTTGGCGTAGCCAATGTGGTCCATACCACCAAAGATTAGAGGAGGCAAGCTCGGAAGGCGAAACCCCCCGGCTGCCTAAATCAGCGGGATTATCTTCAGAGCGCACGTGATGCCAATTACCTACGTCTGTTATCTCCTGAATTTTGCTAACACGG